CCCCAAAACCCCAAAACCCCAAAACCCCAAAACCCCGCTAAGCAGTATTTTGAGCTAGATGTATAATTATTTTAATTTGAACTAAGAATAATAAGTTAAGTAAGATTTAGATTTAAATGGAAGAGACTAAAAATTATTATCAATATCAGTCGTCAGCTACTCAAAAAGTCTCTTAAAAAGACAAAAGTAGGTAGCATGGAAACAATCTCAATTACTTTGGCTAATCTGGGTCTATGTCCTCCATTAATAAAAATGGTACTGTCTCTGCTGGATACATTAACTAGGAGAGTTAGCAGAACTTATTTGAGGTATCATAGAATAAAAAGAATTATACTTAGGCTGTGAGCTAACTTACTGAAACTCATCTTTACTCAGATGGATTCAAGTACTCTAATAGTTGATGTGTAATATTTTTATAGTAACAACAGAATGGTGATGCTCTTTGATGATGACATGAATTCCGATAATGAGTAGATTGATGATGAGGTTTCTCCAGTGACTAATAAAAGTCGAAAATAAAAATGAGTGGGCTAAAAGAACTCATCAAATTAACTAGCAAATATGGATGACAATTAGATAAATAGAATTCCTCGCAACTAAAGGCAAAACACAGATTAGAAATTGATAAGCGAAGATAGCAGGTATTATGATGAAAGCAACTATAATTCCCAACAACTAAATAAAATGATACCCTCTTCATAACCCAATAGTGGATCTAAGTTATAAAACTTGATTGGACCTGCTGAGAAGCTACAATCTACAAAGCTCTAATCATCCTTTAAAAATCTACATAACACTTAAAATATCTCTAAAACTAAAACTAACATTAAGATTATTCCAAGTAAGATTAAAAAACTTTAATTATAGATGATTATTTAGAGAAAAATTAAATTGCTGCTAGTAGAGACATTAGCCCGTTTAAGAGTGTGCAAGTAAACACCCAGAACCAAACTTAGAATTTTCAAAACAACCTGATACTCATCAAGAACCAACAGCCTTCTCCTTATTAAAAGCAGATGGTTTTGAATTAACAAGTTCCACCTTCGACAATGCCGAATTTCTAAATTAAGCATCGCATATAATCAGCAGCGAGAGCATAAACTGCCCAAATGTTTGGAGGCGGTTTATCAGCTAATGGAAGCAAAAGCAGACGAAGCTAACTACCAAGCGGGTTATTGATGACAAATCAAAGCAAGAAAAGATTCACTGAGGGACTGACTTCAATCAACAGCAAATCTTAATTAGGTAACTATAGAGAGACTTAAAACAGAGCAATGAGGTTTAATCTTGACTAAGATGAACAGGTAATATATTAAAGCTTCGCGAATATTCTGGCATCTTTCGATGAGAGCACTAGGCTAGAGTTAATAGAAAGTGTTCTTAAGGATGCTCAGGAAATTGAATCTTAAAATGAGGCTATGTGAATATATTTTATAAATAAAACTGATTATTGTTATTTTCAAATTACACCTTTAATATCAAAATTCTAAATGAAGGGGTTTTGGGGTTTTGGGGTTTTGGGG